TTAAAGGGAGTTTGGCACAGAGAGCTTTAGTTTAATTCAAACTGCTAATATGTTTATTTCCTGTAGTGTATTTGTGATTAGTTTGATTCGTTTGTTCTATCAGGAGACAGAGAGTCGTGTAGTGTGACCGAGGCTTTACACTTTCTGTGCCTGTCTCTCTGTAGGTGGGGTGGATCCTGTCCACTCTCGATGAGCTGCAGATGAACCCCCAGCCTCCGGTCGCTGTTCTTCCTCTGGGAACAGGAAATGACCTCGCCAGGACGCTCAACTGGGGTGGGGTGAGTTCCTAGCCTTGACTTCTGAGCGCGGCAGGACGTAGCGGGGTTGTCCGTTCAGATCCACATCATGATTCAGATGAGTTAACTAAAAGTGCAGCTATCTCTGTGAGGGAATAATATTAAAATACAGCTCAGAAACAAACAATGCCAGCACTTTGAAGATAACTTAGATAAAAATGAGTGAATGCAAATGTAAAATAAAGTCAGTATTTATCTACTACAAAAAAAGCACATTCCAGGAAGTGTACGACTGCGTAACTCATCCTCTGAACTCTGACATTTAGCCACCCTCTGACCTCTCCGAGGCACAACACATCAAGTCATCGCAGAATATAGTAAAACCACTTCAGTGCAACACAAAACCTCAGCTTGAAGAGCAGAAAGTAGAAGCTCTGTGGCCAACACGTCCTACCGAGGGAAACATCCCCGCAGTGAGAGACTACAGTGGATTTAATCAAAGAAACTAAAACAGAAGGAAGGGTCATTATAATATTCTACTGGACTTTTAGGAGATTCATAGAGAAACACACAAACACCCAACAGACAGTATCTACGTTGTGTAATCTTTGATGAAGAATGAAACACAGAATCAGACCTTCCAGTGGTTTTGGTTATAAGTTGTAGGAGAGTTTAGAAATCTGTAAAAACTGCGTTTACGCCACATTACACTGCTGTTAACTATAATCAATATTATTTCAATACTGGAGGTTGAATTGATGGGAAATAATGGTCAGCCTTTACGTAATAGGCCACTCAACATGAGTCATTTTAACTTCAATTTAAACAAACATTCGTCAGCTGCCCGACCAAGGGCGTCTTATTCCTTCCTCCTCCTCCTCCCTTCCCACACCCTGGATGGCACAGGGGTCAAATTAAATAAATACATTAAAAACAACAGCAGCAAAAGAAACCAATGAAGGAAACATTAGTCATAATGGTATTACACAACGTTTGTGTTCAGTCACAATCATTAGTTTATGAAGTATAACTTTAATTAGATTTCCCTTCACATCTTTGATTCGAGCTGTAGAAAGTTCCAGAGAGACGACGTACTCCTAAGACCAACCCTAAGACTAACTCTAAGACTGACCCTAACCCTGAAAGAGAGAATCCACTGAAAGAGTTTCTGCATACTGGGATCAGTGTGGGAATTGCATTGGGAACAACTGAAACATACTTCCTACGTCCCTGAACGCCACTCTGGTCTGGAGTGAAACCCTAGCTACTGTTCGAGCTGCCAGTTCATTCACAGGGTTTATTTAGTCTTTAAAGCAGAAAAGAGGAACAGCTTCACAGTACAGAGCGAGTTCTGCCTGATGTGCTTCTTAAAAAAACAGACGACACATTTTAGATTTTCTTTTCTAAAGTTTCGTTGTTCTGTTGCTTTACACACAGCTCATATTATTCTTACATATTTGGTGTTGAGGTAATCCAAAAGTAACAGAAAGGAATCAATCTTTAGTCCAGGTCCATGTGTGTGAATGTATTTTACATTCATTATTTCTCTGATAATATCAAACATTTGTTCATTTAGTATCTGTGTAAAGGTTATTGATCGACTGATTATTATATCATCCTCTCTCTCTCTGTCCACTGTCAGTTAAAGGCAATAAAAGCCCCAATAAAAACATACTGCCCATGTGACAGTAACTGCCCCTGTTGTTGACACTTCTAATATATTATATTATATTATTATCATTCAGCGACAGCAGAGTGACGGTGGCGTCCTGCTGCAGAGTAGAAGTTCATATCTAGCAGAGTGTAATTAGTGTCATTAGTTTGTCCTCTACTTCCTCTGGTATTTATGGCTTCAGGCTTTCTTTATCCACTATGATCCACCTTTCCTTCCTTCTCCACCCCTCTCTCTTCCTCTCATCTCCTTCACTTCTCTTCCTCGTCTTTCCTTCCCTTTCATTTTTTCATCTCCTTCCTTTCCTAGTTTACTTTTATGGTTTCTTAACCTTTTCCCCTTTCTGTCCTTCTTCATTTTCCTTTCCATATCTTCCTTTTTGTTTCCTTAATTTCCCTTTCCTCTCCTTCCTCTTCCTCCCTCTCATCCCTCTCCTTCCTCTTCCTCCCTCTCATCCTCTCCTTCATCTTCCTCCCTCTCATCCTCCTTCTGACACTCACTTGTGGTATGTGTTACTCACTGCTGCCCCACCGTCTCTCTCTGTGTGAGCGTAGTGTGAACCTCAAAGGAGGCCCTGCTTGATGAGCGCTACCGTATCATCAGCCTGTGTGTGGTGTGTGGTGTGTGTGTGTGTGTGTGTGTGTGTTCCATCCTCTGGTCTCCTGACCCCGTCGCAGAAAATAAAATAAAAGCTGGACAGAGGATGGAGAGAATGACAGAAAGATAAACACGTCATTTAGGGAGACCTGGCTTGAAAATGACTAATTGGCAAAGCAGAAAAGTTGTTTGTGTGTGTGTGTGTGTGTGTGTGTGTGTGGTGGTGTGGTCCTGTATAATCCTCTCATTAATGTGTGTGGTGTGTGGCTGCTTGCTCTTAAGGGGATCGATGGTTCATGAGCAGCCTCAAGACCGCTGATGTGAAAGCAAATCAATTACACCCTGGTCGCTGTCGTTCTCTCACTCTGAGTGTGTGGTGTTTTTGAGGTGGTGTGTGTGTGGTGTGCTGCTGAGTGGGACATAGTGTGTGGTGTTTGTGTGTGTGTGTGTGTGTTTGAGTGTGTGTGTGTGTGAGTGTGTGTGTTCTTGTTAGCAAGTGAGGCGGCGAGAGAGAGATAGAGAGAGGCCGTAATGTTGCTCATCATCAACAGATGTTGCTCCCTGTTACCTACTGATTCCACCTCCCTGGTTCACCACCTTTTTCTTTATGGATATTATATTAAAATATATTTGTATCAAAACGAGCAGATTATTTCCTGGTCAGGGAACTTTTTATACAATTCTCTGTCAGTATTGTGGATTTTTATCTTTTTTAACAATTTAACAGGTTCTTTTTTTTACAGATTCGGTGTTTTCTATCCCTGATACTCGGCGAGCTGGTGAATCAGACGCTGAGATATAGCTCTGTGCGTTTATTTAAAGTCGTCTATCACGTCTTAAACTCAAGAAGACCTAACGACCCCCTGTGAGGCTTCGGCGACCCCTCTCTTTCATCTTTGATCATCCGTTGTCGTTCCTAGAATATGAGTTCTAAATATAAAAATAAGTATTGTTTACAGTCTGGACTTTATTTACGGTATCTTGGGAACGCCCCGACGGACTCAAGGACGAACCACTGACAGTATAATCAGTGGACAGTGGAAGTGTGTTAAACCTGCATTCTGTGTAACGGCCAGCAGGGGGCAGCTCCACTGGCTGCACAGAGAGGCCGATAGTATTGAGTCTTATGGAGAAATGAGCCGACTTCTCACTTGATTTGTTCTGGAGCTTTCGATCATATCACACCGTGTTCCTCGGTAGAAGAAATGAACACTGGGAAACTCCTCTGACTGGTTGCAGTAGCTGCTGACTGTATGTGTGTGTTTGTCTCTCTGCAGGGTTACACAGACGAGCCGGTGTCCAAGGTTTTATGTCACGTGGAGGACGGTTCGGTGGTGCAGCTGGACAGGTGGAACCTGCTCGTGGAGAAGAGTGCTGTGCAGCCAGAGGAGGGCACGCAGAAGGTGTGTGTGTGTGTGTGTGTGTGTGTGTACGAGGGTTGATCACATTGTGGGGACAACAGGCTGTTCACTGTTGTGGCGACTTTGAGGCTTTTAATTTGAAGGTTAAACGTACGATATGTAATTCCTGTCACTGGGGGGGTCTCTCACATCCAGACAATAACAGAAGCGTGGGATCAGATTCTGCTTTCAGTGGAGTATTAATCACCAAAGAGAAGCAACTTTAGGACACATTACGAAGCTATAAACAGCTTTGATCACATGTGGGTGATACGTCAGAATGTATGTTGTGTAATGAAGTCTGTGATCTTAAATTGTTTGAGGCAGCTGTACGTGTTCTTGACCTTCCTCACATTTTTCCCAGCTGGCCTTAAAACTGTCAGAAGACGGGAGGTTATTGATAGTAGGTCTATAGATAGGAGATGTCACTGCCCTCACAAAATGAGTGTAGAGGTAAAAAGCTCCAGTGTAAGACATTATATATGGACCTGAGCTGTCAGTGTGAATAAATTGTACAATATTTATGCAGAAACTCTCTGTTAATATTTCTCTCTGCGTCCTCAGCTGCCTCTCAACGTGTTCAACAACTACTTCAGCCTGGGCTTCGACGCTCACGTCACCCTGGAGTTCCACGAGTCCAGAGGTGGGTGAGATCTATTTTAGTGTTTTCACATTTCATCTCATATTAACTCTGTTTCTCTTCCATTAAGTCCTCCTCTCTCCCGTTAATGCGTCCTCTCCGCTGTATGCTGAGCGGAATACGATCAAATATTAACACATTTGGATACAGACGCAGCATTAATGCACAAATTAGTCAGATTCTCTCACAGTCTTACTCGCTGTGTTGTTCTGTGTTGCAGCAGATTTAATGTATTCTTTCTCTCTCATTTTGTCTTTCCAGAGGCCAACCCAGAAAAGTTTAACAGTCGCTTCCGCAACAAGATGTTCTATGCAGGAGTGAGTGTCCCGCTCGACTGATTCACACACAACTTTCTCTGTTTTAATGAGACACACAGACGCCTGGAGAGTGATCTGCCACACTGACGGCTGAAAGGAAAGCAAGACTGAAGGAAGGGAAAGAGGGAAAAGAGAGCAGGAAGAGGACAGAAGATGCAAAGGAAATACAGATGAAATACTGACTACTAGGATAAAGCAGAGAATGAGGGGTCTTTAAACAGGAAAACTCTTATTGTCAGCCATAAAAATGTTTAATTCCAATTAAAAATACAGCTATATGGTCACCATGTGATGCCAAAGTTAACTGAGCTTACTAGTATTTTAAATTAATAATAAAGAGTGCAGTTTGCTAAATGTGGTTTAGTAAACATTAGTCTTAATTAATCTTTCATTCTGCACTTTTATTATCTGTAAAAACTTCATTCTGATCTCTGAAAATCTTAAATGCTTTTTAAATTTTTTAGAAAGTCTGTAAAGGGAAATGTAGAAACAAGACGAATATCCTTCAGGTTAATAAAATGTTCTTGTATTGAGGAAAAACATCTGCCAGTAAAACTATTCTGCCTGGTTACGATTCTTGAAACTAGCAAATAAATCTAACCACAAACGGGCAATAAGATGAGAGAATATTAAGAATACTAACCCTAACCCTAAGTTTTTGTTAATACAAACAATTAAAACTCAGTTATTTAAGATTCTTAAAATCAGTATTTTAGTCACTTTGTTGAGCTGATTTTAAGAATTTGAACCTTTTAATCTGAAATCTAACAATCAGACTTAATTTCTTCAAGCAGAATAAAAATCAGTGACTTTGTGTTAAATGAAGGAACCAGAAACATTCTTATTTTTATACAGGCTGCTTCATTTCCAACACTGGTACCAACGACTTTCTGTTAAACTGAGAAGTGTTGCGAGTGCTCCTTATTCTGAAAATAAGGACAATAATCTGGTCCTCTGCTGGGATATTATGCAACTGTTGTTGTTACCGGTTAAATCGGTTAAATTAAGCTCAATATCAGCTGGAAGATCTTATTGAAACTCTTTTTCTATGTCTTTTCTTACCTTCTTCAGATTCCTTTGTTGCAGTGTAGTAATTTTAAATTAGTAATGAAGAGTTTCAGAAGTTTGCCTCCCATGTGGTTCAGTAAACATCAGGATATCTTTCATTGTGCTGTGTGTAGTTTTGCATTTGTTTAATCTAAAGCTTCATTCTGATCTCAGAAAATCTTAAATGCAACTTTTTAGAAGCTGTAAAGGATGAAAGATGGTGGGAGCTGGAACGGAAGCATGTAGGGGAGTTATCTCTTTTTAATGAGGGAAATGTAATGACCTGTAATTCTGTTTGATTGTGTTTTTTTCTGTGTGTGTGTGTGTGTTTGTGTGTGCAGGCTGCGTTCTCAGATTTCCTCCAGAGGAGCTCCAGGGATTTGTCCAAGCACGTCAGAGTGGTGGTGAGTGTTAACACACTCTCTCTGTATCGCTTTCCATGTCGACATGTCTGGGCAGCAGGTCGGCATGGTGATTAAAACGGCCGTCCTTCAACTGCTCTTTGGACATCGGCCATGCTGGAGTGTCCTTCAGTGAGACACTGAATCCTCATGAGCCACAGCGAGGACATAGCATCGCTCCCATGATTGATTCTGCACATTATTCACATACAACATACTGAACAATGTTCGTTAGTAGAGTTTAACTCATGATTTTCTTTTTTTACAAAATGATATTGAAGAGAAATTATGAGACAAAAATCTATAAAATGTATTTATCTTATATTTTCTTCATCAAATTAGAGAATTCTTTATTCCTGAGGTCGGGTCCAAGGACTTCGAATATGCAAAGTCAACAGTAGCTGGCGCCCTCTGCTGTTTAAAAAGAGAATCATGTTTCATTTTAAAGCTGCAGTGGGTTACTTTTACAAAAATATTTTGTCATATTTGCTGAAACCTCAGGTTCCTCTGGCTCCCCACAGAGCTCCTACTGACATTTGGAAAAATCCACAGGGCCTGAACGAAAACAACCAATCAGAGCCGAGAAAGAGAGTTGATTGTTGACTCAGTTATTTTTATAAAAGTTATTTACTGCAGCTTTAGCCGTCTGCGATATATGTTCCCTAACCCTGTACTGTTGGCTAGTAGGTATGTAGGTTAGGTCAGCTGTTTGAGGAGAAAGTAGTGCTTTAGTTGGGGTTTTCATGCGCGGATGAATCCACATTGTGTCCTTTTGTGGGTCCTGGAAAACCTGGAAATGCAAAGACTAGTGTTTCACCTGGAAATTGATTAAAATGACCAAATATCCTGAAATAATATCAGTTTTCCTGGAAAATAACGAGCTAACGCTGAGTGTCCCGTAAACGCTGACTGCCATAGAGAACAAGTGACTGATGATTTCACAGTGCGGCTCACTGATGTGTTTTTAATGGCACAGAGGAAGAAGATATATATATATATATATCAGACTTTGACACAAACACACACACACACACACATTGCTTGTTGGTAGATAGAGCCATTGTTGGTGTTTTCAGACAAATACAGAATATCACCAGACTTATCGCAGATATCTCAGCAAAATAACAACTTTACATCCTTGCTGAAAATTGTCTGACTCCAATATTTAATTATAAAAAACCCTAAAACGAGTCCTTGAGGACGTCCTGTGGAGACGTTAACCTTTGACCTGTATCAGTCTCCAACTCCTCCAACACATCAGAACAGGTTTGAGACCGAGAGCGAGAACGTTGAAACGGAGAAAGGAGAACTGAGAGTGAAGCCGGATGTGACGAGTTAAAGCAAACCGAGGATCTGAGAGTGAAAAGCAGTTGTTTTGTACAGTGAAGTCAAAAGACTGCAGCACATTTTCTGATCCATGCCACGAGTTGCCCTTCTCACTTTCTTTATCTGTGTGTCTTCCTCAGTGTGACGGTACCGACTTAACCCCTAAGATCCAGGAGCTGAAATTCCAGTGCATTGTGTTTCTGAACATTCCCAGGTGAGTCCACGATGCTGCCTGCGGCTCCTGTGTGTTATCACTGAGGACTGCTACTGAAGTTAAAAGCAGAAAACATAAAGAAAGACAAAGCAAGAAGCTTAAACAGTGGTTCCCAACCTGGGGGTCAGGACCCTTACTGGGGGTCACAGGGTGAAACTGTTATTTTTAGAGTTTAGATTACACTGTAAAACCAGATAAGTTAATTTAACTCTTTGTTGACTAAACAAACTTCAAAGTAAAACTAACTCTATTTCGTCAGTTATTATTGATGATGTAGCTTTAGTCATTTTAAGTGACAATGACTTTTTATTTGTAAAAAAACTAGTAAAACGTATTTAACAATTTATAATATAAAATTAATATAATCAAGAATGTTTTTAAACTTACAAAATTGAGTTTGTTTAACTTAAAATTTTCAATATAAAGTTCAAATTTAAACAACATTACAGTGTATTAATTAATGTCTACAGTTTGATGACCTGAACACAAACAGCCAATAATAATACACACAGAGTGCAGTTTATCAGCTGGTGTGTATTATTGATTAGAATTAGTTTATTAAATAAAGAGGTCACTGAAGGAAAAAGGTCGGGAACCACTGGGTTAGTAATCAGAAAACATCCTCTATCACGGAGCGGTGACACCTGTGTGTGTGTGTGTGTGTGTGTGTGTCTGTGGGTCTGTG